ATAAGTTGAAGATTGCTCTTGACTAAATGCAAACAAAATCACCTTACTAATAGTCCTTCATTTATTTGGTATCAGCTTAGAAAACTTAGTAATTAATCGAGGCAATGTGCTGTAATGGATTAGTTTCGTTGTTCTCGTGGCCTGTCCTAAGTACTTGAAAATGCATTTTTACTTAATTAATTGTGGTTGGATCTCTGTTAAGAATGAGAGGAAGGGTTATACAGCCATCAGCCATACAGAGCGAACAAACAATGGCGAGTCGGTAAAGACTAGCGACAAGATAAACTATAACACAAGTTTTAGATTCGTTTAATGTAATTTTTATGTTGTTTCAAAGTGAAAAAGAAGAAATTAAACTGATGAACAGCACGTAGCAATCGCTTAGCTTAACATGGTGATAAACATTTAATTTTAACATCTTTGTGTTTGGGACTGTATGACTTAAATAAAATTATATAGTAGCTCATCAAGCAATTTGGAAATCCCTCTACCAATAAATATTAGAATGTTACCTAACTGAAACATAACCATAATCCTTGAAAAAATCCTTTACACTGACCTGATGTTGTAGTTTTCATGTTGGGAGTAGACATTTCTTCACACACGTTTTCCTTTGTTCCAAATAATACCATTGATCTCGAGCTCGATTGAATGATCGTTCCCCATCTTTACCCGCTTAAATACCCAAGTAATGAGTATTCAAGAGGGGAATTGAGTTTCCCTTATTCCCTGTAACAAGCAAAAAATAAAGTCTTCCTCGGGACGAAATTCTAAATATAATGATTTATATGATGATCTAATGAACTTCCTCTGTCTTCTTCCTTGAGATCCTTCCTTTCTTAAGGCTCTTTCTTTGCTTTAAATAACTTTTAAACACACTGTTGTGCTGTACATTGTCTTTGTTTGATTTTTGGTGGTGTTAAAACATGCCAAAGAACTAAATCTAGTGTACTTTTGTTTTTTGTGACACGGTTCAGAAGAGTGGTAAATGTCCCATTATCATAACATTTTTAATTTATGTGTTTTCCCTGTTAAAGGCTGATATTGTAAAACGTCTTGTCTTGTCAGCGTTGTGTAGACATTCAATTTCATAGTTGTCGTTGTCATTGCGAACTAACGTTGGACAAAATCTTGTTATATACCCCCTAGAATAAAAGTAACCTACGAGAAATTTGATACTACAGTTAATTGAACGATCGTAACATGACACCCAGCTATCAAATCGAAAGTGCCATGTAATATGTTTTCATTGATGTCCGGTAACGGAAAATATGTAGTTCGTAATGTTTCGCTTTGATCGTGCATGCTGTCCGTTAAGTGTTGATTGGAAAAAGTTTTGTTAATACAAGCACGTTTTCCATCCACAAAGTCTCGTTTTTTTAATATCTGACGTTCTTAGAAATTACTATGTTGACTTTGCACTTCCGTTTCATCAGTTGTAACCGATGGATGGGCTGTGTGATGTAGTGATTCTTTAACGTATTGTACTTAATATATTTAAGATTAAAAACTAATTTACTTCATGCCAGCAGTTATTTGTGAGGTTTATTTTGTTAAACTTAAGGTATATGCAACGCCTTCGTCTTCATAACATCAAACATCAACAAGGAAGCATAAAAAATTGATGACTTCTCAGCGACATAAATTTACTACAATTCAAGGTTTATTAAGGCCCCCGCTTTCCGCTGGCGGTCCCACACATTCTTTTAATTGGAATAAAAACGCTAATCTCATCTCGAAATGAAGATCATTTTTTCATCATGGTTTTCTCCTGAAACAGAGTATGTATTTAATTTCAAAGTAAATTTTCCGTAATTTGATATTCTAATTAACTAGTGTTACACAACTTCCGCCCCAAATCTAGACGCCCCTTCGTCGGCTTTTGAATTTGACCATTTTTAATATCATTTCTTAGTTTAAATTCATTTTGTTCCTTCCCGTGGTGTGAGTATGGCTGTAAACTGCAGTCACGTTATATCCTTCAGTTTCATACAAGAATGAACAGTTGTCTGTTAAAAAAAAAAGAAAGAAAAAAGGAAACATATCGCGAAATATATAGTAAGCAGAACTTCTATCACCCAAATTTAGTACAACGTAGCGTTTTGACTACATTTTTATACGGGGTTTCTTCACCTTGGCTGTTTTGACAGGTGAAGCTGGTTTTCACTAGTATATACCACACAAGTGAACTGTGCTTTTCACGCGCGCTGATTGGCCAGCTCAGAAGTGACTAGCAAGTACTATTCACCTCCACTTCGGTGAATAATTGTTAAATATAGCATTTAAAACTAGGAAAAGTTATCAAAACTTTCCTAATAATTTTTATTGTTGTTCAGATGCTTTGGAATTAAAGTATAATTAGAAATTGTGAAAGCAGTTTGTTTCACTGGAACGGAATTGTTCATTCAATTAAATGAGCAAAGAATTATAATGAGTTACTTCATCGCTGTGTTTAACTCTATTTCTAGGTGGTAAAAGGAAACAGTGTTTACCAAAACACAAGATTATCTGGTACTACAAAAGGCGTTTCCTAATTAACCGAATTATTTATTTTTCTTAAAACTGTGTCTATAGTGATAACCAATTGCACGATGAATGATTTCGCTTACAGTGGGAAACGACATGCAGATACAATGCTTTTTTAAAATGTTTGCTGTAACTGAACCGTCGTCTATTTTGCCTTGGTTATAAAGTTTATTTCTCAATCCATTGATAGATGTTATGCGCCTCTTTCTTTTTATTGCTCAATTTCCTTTCGTATGCCTGTCATAACCCTAAAATGGGTATTATATCTCAGAACCCGCGGGGTAGCGCCGGCAGGATTGCTATTGCTGCGTCACGGGGGAAAACGAGTCGTTTAACGGGTCCTGATTCTGGAAGCTAATATTCTTTAATTAATCACGGATGCTTTTTCGTTTGTAGATTCAATATCTTCACAATGTCTTATCTTTGGAAACGGGAAGTTAACTGCAAAACATAGTATTTACAACGTTGACTTGGTAGTGACTGTTTCCGTTAGATCCCTCGTGCACGTAAACGTAGGTTTCAACTCTTTGTAGCACTTTGAAGAAAAAACAAAACATTATTAGAACGACTTCGAAATAAATCATATTTATTAGCTAGGAAAACAATTTACCAATGTCATTTCAATCAGGCTAATTTCTACTTAGAGGTGGTTTTGGATTACCATAAATAAACAAAAACGGAAATTTTTTCTCTCAAACAAACAACTGAAACTCCCTTTAACAGCAACAAATGAATCATCACATCGCGTTTCCACCGTATTTGAAGGAACATATTTCACTATCTAAATCTGTTGAGATGATTTCAGATCTTAATCAAACAATAGTCCTTATTTAAAAGAGGCCCACCGACCGCGAAACCCAATCAGTCACATCTTAGAAACTCATCGCCATTTTGTTTCATTGTATCAAGAACCCTCCGTGCATTTGAAAGAATGTTAGGTATGAAGGAAATGCGTGAACTGCTTTGACTCGTTGCTACTGTTTTAAACATCTTGTTGTCTTTGTGATACACTTCTGATGCTCGCCTCGGGCCTCGGCAGCCACATCAAGTTCATGGTCAAATTGAATCGAACAGTTGTAGTGGCAGCCATCAAAAGAAATCAGTGAAAGCAATTAGCATTCAACTTAGGGAAGTCTAACGCGAACCACTAATACAGCAAAATGAAATCATACGAGGACATCACTGATGGTGTAATTATCTTTCAGGAAATCTAATGATGACCCAGCCGCCACTGGAGGGAACGATAATTTATTCTATGAATATAACTTCCTATCTATTAGTATTGCTTGGGTTTCTTAGAATTAGATCAGGTTTCTCGCGTAAATATTGATAATAATACTATACAATTCTAACTCTCTAATCATTTTACTATTTACTCCCATATTGATGTATTTACGACAAGGTTGACAGTTGGTAGTCGGTTGCCATTCATCTGCTCAGTTGAAGTTTCACCAATGATTTCTTTTCCAAAGCCGGCTAGCTTAGTTACATTACAATATTACTTTTCATTGGCAACTAATTGACTGACTGACTACATGACCGGCTGTCGGTCGCACGTACTGATTGGATTACTGTTCCAGCAACCGACAGACCGAGCGACTGGCTGCCTTGATTGAACGATCAATTTATCTACTGATT